CTGCATCCTTCATCTCCACTCTAGTGACCTCTGCATCCTTCATCTCCACTCTAGTGACCTCTGAATCCTCATCTCCACTCTAGTGTCTCCAGTTTAGTTAACAGCCATAAGCACTTACAGAACCACTGAACAACTATCTTATAAACCACAGCTTACTCCTTGCCTGGGACTTGTAGCATCTGGGGGAAAGGAGTCATCATTGTTATCTGGTCACTGCCTCAGGTGAGTGTCACCATGGTCCCTATCTTTGCGAGGTGCCAGCTCTTTTCTTTGTGCTCATATCCTTGACTGGGAGCACTCTAAAAGAGAGTAAGCTGAACCAAATGCAGGAAACATCAGACCTCCACTAGCAGGAACAGAAACACACACACACACACACACACACACACACACACACGAGGAAGTCATAAACATTGAATGAATGTTCCTCAGAAAGTTTTAAACGTTGAACTAGTGCTCCTTGAATTCTGGCCTTTCCCATTACTCTCTAGGTCGGAATGTCGGAAGTGTCAGTTTGAAAGTAAAGGACCCAAAATAAGATGATGTGTTTGGATGAACTCGGAGCTGCCCCAGCCGAGTTCATTCAGATGCTCTTGTTCCATCATTTAATGGTACTTTTGTTGTGACAATTTTTTTTTGTTTTGTTTTGTTTTGTTTTTGCTTTTTGCTTTTTGGAGACAGGGTTTCTCTGTGTAGCTTTGCACCTTTCCTGGAATTCACTTGGTAGCCCAGGCTGGCCTCGAACTCACAGAGATCCGCCTGGCTCTGCCTCCCGAGTGCCGCCACCACCGCCCGGCCATGACAATTGTTTTTAACTCACCTCCCGTCCCTCACTCCTTTCCACTCCACCGGAGTTGTTTGGTGGTTCCAAGAGAGGAGAAGAAGGGCCTCTGGGTGGAGCATCTGCACTTCGTGTTCTACAGGACTCAGCTGTGCTTTTCCCCATCTCAGGACACATGCCCAGCACCCAGCGGATCTGCCGTATCCTAACTCTCCGGACTGTGTAGGACTACCAGTAGATCTAGACATTTTAAGTCCAGGCATTTGAACTGTAATCCTTTTAAACAATTTGTTTCCTGTTTTATGAGGTCTGCATAGAAGAGGGGGTGGAAATATGCAGAAATGTTTTCCAGGGCATTTCCTTCCTTCCACCCCCAGTCTGCTAAAGATACAGCGCTCCGATCATGGTGGCGGCCGGGTTAACCTCTAGGGTTAGGTTTTATGTGCCTGCTGAGCTCCCTTTCTCTAATTCCCATGTAAACAGGGGCTGGGGCCCAGAGAAGGTACTCAGTATTTTAGCTGGTTCTGAGTTTTGCAGAGCTTGTGTATCCAAATGTCACGTGTGTCCAGGTCTCCTGAGGACACTTCCATTTTCTTTTCCCTTTGCCCTTTTTGTATCCTCTGAAATCAACCTGTTTTTGTTTGTTTGTTGTATGTGTACAAGTGTTTTGCCTACACACACACACACACACACACACACACACACACACACACACACACACACATCGTGTGTATCTGATGCCTGCAGAGGTCAGAAGAGGACACTGGATCCCCTGTAACTGGAATCCAGACGGTTGTGAGCTGCCATGTGGGTGGTGGGAACTGCAGCTGGGTCTTCGGCAAAAGAAACAAGTACACTAATCGCTAAACCATCTTGCCAGCCCCTGAAATGAAATCTTTTGATGGTTGCCCAAGTTGTTCATACTGCCAAGCTGTATGTGTGTTAATGCTTAACAGACTCCCTTAAAGACATCTGACCATGTTGAGCATCTATTCCCTTTGAAGTTTTCTCTTAAGACCTTTATGATGAGTCCTCTTGCTGTTTCTTATCCCGTGTGTGTGTGTGTGTGTGTGTGTGTGTGTGTGTGTGTGTGTGTGTGTGTGTACACCTAGGTGGTATGTGTATGAAAGGCTAGAGATAGATGGGGGGTATCTCCCTTAATGGTTTCAATCATAAGTTCCAGTTTCCAATCCTTTCTAACACTGCGATTCAGGTTGTGAGGCCATTTCTGACACATCCCATTTTGGCCTCTTATCCAGTCAGTTGCAAATCCCTGCCTCTTTCATGGATTTCCATATTCTCCCATGCCCATGCCTCGCCACCTCTTCATTGTAGGAACAGCTTTAATACCTCAGATTCTCTCCTTTCTTTCCACCCTTCCCATTCTGGTTCTGTCTGCTCATGCCCTGACGATGGTGGCCCTATCACTTCCCATTCCCCGGAGTGAAGGTTGCTTCCCACTGCTTTAGTAGATGGCCATGCACCATGCCACTGCTTTCAACCACGTGTCTGTGACTCCCACAGCCCACTCTGTCTCATTCTGCAAACAAGGAATGAAATCCCCAAGGTACTGTTACCTTCTTTCCACTCACTGCACATGAGGGTCACGGTAGTGAATGTGTCAGAGCAAACCCTCAGCCATCCTGGTGTGCTTTGATGTTCCCAGAGCAAGCACATTTTGCCTGCTGTCCCCCCAGGTCCCTACTGCCCTCCTCTGGCACCTATACAAGATTGTCTTACCTCCTCTTCAAAGCTACCTTCAACCCACCCTTTGAGAATGTCTTTTTTATTGTGAGAACCTGGCTGGTCATTCCCGAGTCTTTTCATCGTTGTGAAATTTATTTATTTATTTATTTATTTATTTATTTATTTATTTATTTTTGGTTTTTCGAGACAGGGTTTCTCTGTGTAGTTTTGTGCCTTTCCTGGGTCTCGCTCTGTAGCCCAGGCTGGCCTCGAACTCGCAAAGACCCGCCTGCCTCTGCCTCCCGAGTGCTGGGATTAAAGGCAAGCGCCACCAGCGCGGCCATGGTTGTGAATTTTAACGCTTGAGTCCTAATGCAATCTCCTTAAAGCCCACTGTTTTTTATTTGCTGCGCTAACACTCTCCAGAGCTCGGTGGGCGTTGTTTGCTGTTGGCTGTAGCAGTATTCACAATAGCTGGCCCGAACCTACAATTACGTGTAATTAGAAATAATTGGAATGATACACTGAGCAGGGCGTGTTGCATGAAACGCTTGGTACGCATTTTATTATCTAATTACGACATGCTAAGTCCGCAAGTAACTTACAGTGACTTGTTCAGCTGGTGCCCCGCTGTGTGTCTCAGGGGTGTCACCTTCCTGAGTCTTGGTGTTCTAGTCTGCTATTGAGTTTGTTACTCTGTTACCAAAGAGAAAGGGTTATTATTTTCGCTCGCAGTTTTTTAACTTTGAGCTCACGGTTGTTGGACCCCATTGCTCTGGTCTCGCGGTGGCACATCCCGGCACTCATAGTTATACAAGACAGTGGCAATACACAGCCGGGCAAAGCCTTTTCCCCCGTGTCTAGGAAGCCATAAAATCGATGGAAGAAAGGGTAAAAGCCTCACTCTTCTCCGGCACCAGTGACCAGAAAGGAGAACCCCGCTAGATCTTGCTGCTTAGGGGTTCCATCATTCCCTATAAATCTCATGAGCTAGGGGCTAAGCCTATAATACGTGGGACTCTGTGGACATTCCAGATCTAAACTGTCTGCAAAATAGGGAGCCGGCTGCCTGATATTCCAGATCTCTCCATTGCCAGTGCTGCATGCTGTGCCCGTTTTAATTCACTTGTATCTCAGGAATCCACACTGTGTACTGCGCACAGATTTTTTTTCTCTCTCTCTCTTAGGGACTATGAAACAAATACGGCACCGCGTCTGTCCTTGTCAGCATCCAGTGTCATAACAGGAAGCCAGGGGCATCAGAGGGGCAGAAAAACAAGGGGGCCAAGGACTTCATTAGGAGAAAGTGGGGGAGTTCCTGAGAGGCTGTTGTAATGAGAAGCTTCCTGAGGGAGGGGAGATTTCCGTCCAGTTTAAAGGAGAGAGGTGATGGAGTAGGAGTCAACAGCCCCCTCTTCACAGGCCTGGTGGGTGCAATAGGCCATGCAGCGGGGAGCTAGAGCGGGGCCATGTTCAGGACCCAACCCCCAGGTGATTTGTATGTGCTAAATTTAGAGTTGTGCTCATACTGATACTGTTACAGAGGACACAGGAGGCTCCCTACTCCATCAGAAAGCTATGTGGATCCCAGAGGAGTAAAGCATTTGGAGATCTGAGATGGGCACTTGGATTAAAACCATTTATTTTGGCATCGCACGCTGAGCCTCCTAAGCCCCAGGGGGAGCATCCGTTATGAGGATGATGCTTCTGGAATTCTGTCACGGTGTAGCTATCAGGACAATTGGCTGATGTTACTGTTTAGTAATAATGTCTGTATTTCCGGAAGAAAGTGGGGATTTTCAGAACTTCTTATCAGTCAACTATATCAAAGCAGGAGAGTAAAATAAAAACAGAAATGGTAGGACAAGGCCTGAGTAAAGGCCAGAAAAAGCCCAAGAGACCTGAAGACTTCTTCAGAGGTGTGTCCCCACCTAGAGCTCACATCGCAGCAGAGAAAACAGGTTTTATTTTGCATGTAATTATGTAATATCTCTAAGATTCTAAGCTTATGCTTTACTGCTAAAAGAGATTTAGGGTTTGGGCTAATGCTGTGTGCTCTCAATTCACATTGTTGTATTTCCAGCCTGTTTCTTTTTAAAAAGCAAGTACCAGTCCCAGACTTTTTTGGCTGAATTGCTAAGGTCCCCAACGATCTTATTTCAGGAAACCCCAGCTCTGAGGCCAAAGAGAATTTCATCTGATGAAAAAACGTGTAATTATCATTTATTATTTCCTTTTAGGAAAAGCTTTTCTTCCTCCCTCCCACCCCCTTTCCCCCCTCCCACACTATTCCCTCCACCCAGCAAACACATTCTAATTATTTTGCCATCTGAGAGGCCACATCAGGTCACTGGGGTATTGACATCTGGAAGCAACAAAGCGGAAATCCATGACTGGTGGGCCCCTGGCTGGGCTCTGAGCAGCCCTGATGCCCTGCCTCTCTTTAAATTACAGTGTGAAGCAGAATGAGCGCTATGGGCAACTGACTCTGCTCAACGCCACCTCCGCCGACACCGGTGAATTCAGCTGCTGGGGGCAGCTGTGTAACGGCTACATCTGCAGAAGAGACGAGTCCAGGACAGGCTCCACCTACATCCTCTTCACAGGTACACGTTTGCTGCACAACAGAACTCCTTGAACTGCCCATGTTGCCTCCAAACTGGGGTTCCCACTGTAAGCAGAATATCTAGTAAACTATTCAAAAAAAAAAGTCTTCATTGTTCAGGCACAGGGCCAAGTACAAGTATTATGCCAGTCTTTGAAGGTATATATATATATATAAAATTTCCAGAGTCCCTTTTCTAGACATGAAAGGAGGTTTTGAGAGATTAAGAAAGTCCTTAAAGTCCCATAGCAGGCAGAAGGACACAGAACTATCTGATACAGGGTCAATGCCTACACTGCCCAGAAGGGCAGCCACTTGACACACATAGCAACTTAAATATAACTGCATATTAAAATTAAATGCAACTTAAAACTCATCTCTCGAGTCACACCTGCCTCAGTTGGACTGCTCAGTTGTGACATTGGAATTGAAATGTTCTCCTAGTGGGCTGCATAGGAAGGAATGTCTCCACCATCACGGAGTCCCATCGCATGGTGCCGCTGTTGGCTGCTCACCGCTGTGCTTACGGAGATGCGTGATCAGCTCCTTCTGGAACCTCCATAGCAACAGTGTGAAATGTTGTTGCTAAGGTCACCTCATATTCGTTCTTACGAGTTTCTGGAGCTGAGACTCCAGAGTAGGGTGCCTGAAGTTTTTAATCCTTGTAGTTTCTGTCTCATCATCTGGGACTAAGAGGGGAGCCAGGACACCTGTGGGTCACACGGGGGGGGGGCGGGGGGGGGAGCCCCTCCTCCCATGTGGTGCCAGGAGTGCACCGGCAAGGCAAAGCCTGTGATTTGGTTGCAGACTGGCACCCAGCCTCCTTCCACCTCAGACCTCAGGGAGCTCCAACATTGGGGGTTGAGGTTCTTCTGCAAGGTTCAAAGGTCACTTTTGAACAACGTTTAGGAATCTTGCCAACTATTTACGGGTGCTATTATCGTACAGTGCATCTCAGGAGAGTCAGAGCCCCTTTTTAAGTGTCTGAGTAGAAAAGGAGCTCTCATGAGATTTGCCTGAGTCCCGAGTCAATCTGCCTTGCAGGTCTGTACTGAATTATGCCTATGACCCAGTGATCTTATATCCTGTCCATTAATAAATGCATTAGCAACAGCTCATATATTTTACCCTTCCTGCTCAAATAGTTCTTCCATGGCAACAAGATACATTAGCAGGGCCAATCCTCCAGTTCAGGTATCTCATTTCCTATGACATCCCAAGGAGAAGAATTAAAGCTACTTTATTATGTTTTAGAAACAATATGGATACAAAGACTTAAAAGGGCAAGATGACTATTCCAGTGTTCTGGGGCTTATGGTAGCATATTACGGAGTCAAACTCATTTTTCTGACCCACAATCCTTGAGCCCTTCCTAGGACAAAATAATGGATGGATGGATGGATGGATGGATAGATAGATAATTACAACTCTGCTAGCTAGTGTCCTCTGTCAGAGAATTTCTAATGGGTGTTCATGGGAAGTTCTGTAAAATTTTCATTTGGGGATATGCTACACAGACTTATCTGTGTGGTCTTTGTATTATGCCATGTGGCAAAGTGTGAAAAAGGCAAACAATTAAGATGACTAACAGCTTATTATTCTACATAAGGATGGATTACATGTTGAAATTGCAGATGAACATTCTTTGCCAAGATTAGCACTAGTGTGTCTTCCCAAAGTATTAGGTTTTGAAGACTTCACTGGAGCAGTTATGGGTTGATAGGTTAGGGTTTAAAAGTTCTCTTTGGAGTTTTGTGAGTGGATCCTCTTTACTTCCTAAAGTCCTCTTGTGAACCAAAACAAAGATAGCCATGTCAGCTTCAACTTTGAGCAAACTTAAGTCAGGACTGGAGATATATCTCAGTGGATAGAGTGTTTGCCTAGCATGCACGAAGGTCTGGGTTCTAGCCCAGCACAATATACAATCAGGTGTGGTGGTACATGCCTTTCATTCCAGTGTGCAGGAGGAAAAAGTGGAAGGATCAGAGGTTCAGCATCATCCTTAGCTACATAGCGAGTTCAAGGACGAGCCTGGGCTTACAGAAGAGCCTGTCGAAGGGGAGGGGGGAATTAAAAGGGAGGGAAGGAGGATGAGGAGGAGGGAGGTGATATTTTGTTGTTCTGTTACTCAACACACCCAAAGTCCAGGAAGACTTTCAGTACAGGGTTTGGCGCTTTGTCTTTTGAAGTGTGGGTGGCTTTGGAAAACCAAGATGGGCTGCCACAGAAGCTGTGGTTCCTGCTGCTGGCACAGGATTCTCTCAGAACATATGCTTCTCAGCTCCCCACATGGAGAAGCATCTGCCATTTGCTATGTTTGTGTGTTCCCTGGAGTTTGATGGCAAACACTGAATTTTTTTTCAGGGTGCTGCCTGTTGTTAATCTGTGTAATGTTTGAGTAACTGCCGCATTGATTTCCTCTTATCCAGGAGGTGGGTTCCTGTTCTCTCTTCCCCTCTCCTCAACATTGAAGTTTAACAGACATAAAAGAATTCAGATCCTAAGTAGACAGCTCAACAAACTGTCCTCAAAGGAGCAGACATATGTAACCACCACCCAGACAGATCAAGGGGAACCCTGTACTAGTGGGAGGGCTTTCTCAACGGGAAATACTTGGGCAATGGTTTTCATATGTGGAGAACACATTAATAAGTACTTTACTAGATCCTGAGTGTGCTGTAATTTGTATTTTAGTTTATAGGCTATTAGCTTTGACTTTTAAAAATATAAACTCCCATGTGTTTAGTTTTAAAAGCAATATGGTACATAAGTAGATACAAGCATATTTGTAGGGGAATGTACTCTATAATTTTTTAAAGGAACCTCAACGCATTTCTTTTTACAGGTGGAAGCTACTGCTGTGTGTGTGTGTGCATGTGCGCATGTGCACACATGATATTGAGTACTGAAGCTAGGGCCTTTCACATCTTCAGCATTGAGCCATACCCTACTTTGCAAATATTTTTAAAGCAACTGGTGGATTCATTTATTGCAAAGTGTGTATTTATAACAAGACATATGACTATTTTTGCATTCCGAAATTCCAGTTGTTCACTGGTTCTGCTGGCTTTGCTAAGTGGAACAGATAACTCACTCAGTAAAACCTCACAACACGAGTTGCCTCCACAATCTTACAGTTATAAAATTCTATTAACTTAAAAAAAAACTTTATTTTCTTGCAGTGGTGAAGACTGAATGTAGACCTTCTAATATCCCAGGCAAATGCCCTACCACTGAGGCACATTCTCAAACACTCAAAAGATGGTCTTTATTATCTGCTCTTTACAAAGGGGGGAGGTGTTTAAAGCACAACTGGATTAATTAACACACCCAAGGCTATGTAGATTTTGTGTCTGAACATGGATATTGGACACATTAGAAAGGTACCCCTGGCCTAAGTCTGAAAGTCAGTTTACAAAGTAACAAAATCACCCAGTCTGGTTAGTGTAGAGCCTAGCAGTAATGGAGACCTTTTGGGCTATGACACAGTCTTTCCCAGAGAAACACTTTCATGTTCCTGAACTTGGTCCTTGGGACCAAAGAACTCCTGCCCCCGAAGACCTTTGATGTTTCCAGGAATCTAAATTATCATACAGTGGTGACACAGAAGGCTAGTGAAAGAGAAAGCCAGGAATATTTGCCTGCTTCGGAACATTGCATGGAAAACACAGGAAACAATTTAACAAGTGTTATGTGATTAGCCCCAGAGAGTTCTCCCAGCAATTACTATAATATCCCTCTACAGAGCAATCCAGAAAACAAAGGATTTAATGTGTCAAACCAAATCAAACAAACAACATACACATGTGCCGCAAAAGCTCCACCCAAATTCCTTTCCCTGTCCTAGGGATGTTGTGACTCAGCCAGTTCTCACCTGTCTACTTTTTGTGAGATGGAAATGTCATGTAGGGTTTAAAGCATCTGACAGGTGGCATTGCAGAGGGTGTGTGTATAATACTGGGTGGAAGTCGCCAGCTACATGGTAGCCAAGTAGAAGCCATCCCTGAAACCAGCAGGTTTCCCTCTGTCCCTAACTCAGCCCTCTCCATTAGCCTTGGCATACATTCTATCTTCTGTGTTGGGTGTGAGGACCCTGAGGACCTCCCCAGGAGTGATATTGTTATTTGGTCCTTTCAGAGGACCTCCCCAGTATAAGAATGCCCCCTGAACAGAAGCCCTTGGCGATGAGGCTCATTTTCCACACAGAGGCACAGAGTGTTTTAAGGTCTTATGAATGTTTCTCCTGGGACTAGAAAGATGGCTCAGCCATTAAGATCACTTGCTGTTCTTTCATAGGATTTGAGTTTAGATGAAGTACCCATATAAGGAGACCCACAACTCCTGGAGACACTACAGCTCCAGGGGGATCCAACATTTTCTTCTGGCCTCCACAGGCACTCACACGCATGTAATCCACACACACATCTACAGAAATAATGAAAGTAAAATCTTTTAAAAATGTATTTTTAAGGAAGTTGGTCTCCTTTCTTGCTTCACTGGCGTGATCCATGGTTCTGATGTGAGCTGAAATGACATCTTTTTTTGTTTCCTCTGAGGACATAGGGACAGTAAAGTTATCCTTCCAACACTATGATAAAATACCTAAGATAATTAAGAGAAAGTTTTGGAGGTTCATGTCCATGGTCAATTGACCTCATGTCTTCGATCCTGTGTTGAGGCAGGTTTCATCATCAGGAATCAGGTAGAGAGCAAAGATTGATGTCTTACAAATATCTTCAAAAGCACATCTCTACTGACCTAAAGCCTCACAGAAACTTCCAATAGCCAAGTCTTTAACTCAAGGACCTTTAGGGGACAGTCAACATCTAAATTATAGCAGGATGCAAACAATTCCCTCCCCGTTTTTTTTTCAAACCCAGCCTTCTCTTAGAGACCCAGTGTGCTGAGTACACTGTCAGGGTCGTTACATCTTTGTGCCGGTTTTAAGAGTCTTTGAGGCAACCTCATTGCATTCCTTTTGAGTCATTAAGCCCGTGTCTTCTCTGCAGAGGAAGGAGAGCTGTTTGTACCTTCTCCCAGTTACTTTGATGTTGTCTACCTGAACCCGGACAGACAGGCCGTGGTTCCTTGTCGAGTGACAGTGGTATCAGCCAAAGTCACGCTCCACAGAGAGTTTCCCGCCAAAGAAATCCCCACCAACGGGACAGACATTATCTATGACCTGAAGAGAGGCTTTGTCTACCTGCAGCCTCATTCTGACCACCAGGGTGTGGTCTACTGCAAAGCCGAAGCTGGGGGCCAGTCTCAGATCTCCGTCAAGTATCAGCTGCTCTACGTAGAGGGTAAGTCAGTCTGCTTTCTTCCTCCGACCAAGATTGGTGCTGCCTGCTGGTTGGGAGGAAAATACAAAGACGTGGGATGGTGTTCTACAGGCTTCTCTATGGCATTTCTAGAGCATTCAGCTCCCTTGACCCATCCCCTCTATCCCCCACTCCAGATGCTTCCCACCTCTGTATTTGATTGGCAAGTCCCTTGTATCCCCTTAGGACTCTGTCTTAACCAAGTATCTCCTAGCATCATCATCCACTTCCCACCTTGAGGCTGGCATCCTGTTTGTGCCCAATTCTCCTTGCACCTTTTGTTTTGTCACCCTCTGTTAGGGACCTCTGCTCCTCCACTGTGCTGGCTCTGGTTCCACTGGCTTTCTCCTTCCCTTCTGCTCCCTGCCATTCCTTTAACATCTTTCTTGCCATTGCATTTTCAGGGTGACATCAGTGTCCACCTGAAGTCTTTGGCCTGTTCACTAGACACCCCCATTCCACTCTATCAGTCGCATCGTGAACACGTAGACAGCCACAACTGGTGGGATGTAGGGATTATAAGGTCTCATCCCCAGCTCCCAACACAGGCTCTCCTCCTTCAGCCTACCACTCTCACCCCTGTTCCAAGGCTTTTCTGATGGCACAGGGATGGGCTAATGAGCAGATCTCCTCATTATACACAGCCATATAACACCGCCCTTCCACGACTACCTGTAGAGAGTGCCTCACTCTGTTCCCCAAAATGGAGGAAAGGGGGTGATTCCTCTTGGACTGTAATTCCTCTGATAAATACAGAGGCTTATATTACTTAACCAATTTCTATTAACCTATATGTCGCCATGTGGCCATAGCATTGCTGGTGTGCAGGCATCTTGTTGCTCCTTGGACCTCCTGGTGTCCCCCTCAATACCTGCCCCGCCTCCACCCTTCACCTTGTCTTCAGTTCAAATGTACCACCTACCCTTATCCTGCCCTGCCATAGGTCAATGCAGCTTTATCAACCAATCAGAGCAACACATTCACAGCACACAGAAAGACATCTCACAGCATGGGAGTATCTAAGGTGACCTCCTTTCTTGGATCTCTTTGTGGACTGCTCATCTCTACCCATAGCTGTGCACTAATAATTTATTTCCTAAATGTGCATGTGTGCTCCAGGTCTAGGAGGTAAGAACCATGTGTCCAAGTAGCATCTGTACTCAGATGATGCAGAGGACCCTCACCATGCCAATCCATGGCCATCAGTGGGCTCAACATGACCCTGTAGGCATGGTTCACCTGTGCCCTCCACCTCAAGGAGAGTTGTTCATTCACCTAGCGTGAATGGTCACAACAGAAGTCTAGCCTGTCCTCCTCCTGCCCTTCATTGCGGCCCTTTCAGATCTTCCTGTTTTTATCCCTGATCCAATGACTCAAACTATCATCTCTGGCCAGTAAGAATAATACCTTTCTCCCATATGCCCACCTTGTTTTCCAATCGTTTTCCATATGGTTGCTAGCTACACTTTCAATCCATACATTTAGCAAGTTCTTACCTATAGAGACACAAAATCCTGATGGGCCTCGCATGGTTGGCTTCACAGCTCTGGCCCACCTCGTCTTACCTCACGGACTGCTCAGGAATCCTCCTATGTCTTTTAAGCTCGGTGCTGGGACTTCAGTTCCACCGCCTGCCTGCCTCCCTCCACTTGCAGCTCACTCTGGGCTACTCTTTTCAATGAACCATTACAGTTGCCCACCTAGTGTCTGCGTACTCTGCTGGGGTGTAGGCTCTAAGAGCTCAGTCCATCTGTCTGGTTTGCTCCCATGGTCCTAGTTCCTAGCATATCTCCTTGCTTAAGGCTGCCATGAAAATTACTCCTTGAGTGGCCACCATAACAATGAAAAGTTTCTGAGATGTTACGACATAAGGATCCAGCCAACACAGGTAGCACCTATGTTATCCTGCAAATACTTCTCACTGGGATATTTGGGACTCCTCAGAGGATGGGTGTCACATACCTGTTTGCCCACCTCCACCCAGCCAGGCTGCCTTCACTTACCCTTTCCACAAGTATCGTTCCTCACCCTTTATATCTTTCACATGACCCCGATCAACTTGTCAGCTCCTTCCCCAGGCACAAGCATGGGGTTGGGGAGCTTGGATTCTGAATGACTACCCCTCTTCTGGACTACCAAGGTAGAGAGAGGCAGAGGCAGCTTCTAAAGCACTCTTAGGGGGTGTAGGCTAGTGTTGGCCCTCTGAAGCCATAGAAAAGGCAGGTTTCCTCTCTTCAAAGAGAGTGTATGCTTTTCTTGAACATCAGAGTTATGGATCGCGTGATTCTTTCTTCCTGCTTTGCTTGCAGTTCCCAGTGGTCCTCCATCAACCACCATCTTGGCCTCCTCCAACAAAGTGAATGGCGGGGATGACATCAGTGTGCTCTGCACTGTCCTGGGGGAGCCTGATGTTGAGGTAGAATTCAGGTGGATCTTTCCTGGGCAGAAGGTAAGTGCCACGCCCCAGCCTCAGCCAGCATCTGTAGTTTTTCATCACTCAGAGACCGACCGTGCTTTAAGTGCAAGGTTTAGGACTAGGTGGGAGCCAGGGAATGTTTGCCTAAGATGTTCCGGTCTGCTTCAAAATATACTGTTTTCCAGAAAAATTCATTCAAGATGCCTTTTGATGTGTAATTTTTCATTGCTCCTACTCAGGGGCAGGAAAGGGGCAGATACTTCTGAACTTCACACTCTCATCTTCTAGGTCCACTACGGGCCACTCTAACCCCCTCCAGGGATCCTTCACACTGCATGAAGCTTCAGAGCTGTGGGTGGGAAAAGGGAAGTAACAGCAGGCCATGATCCTCACACAAGGCTTGTGAAATCTGCAAGCAGACAGTCTCCTAAGTGGGCATATCAACATAGGCCCCGTTCACAAGGTGCCGTGAGGTCAGCACCACTTAAAAATAGACTTCTAAAAAAGAAACGGCGGCGGTGTCCTCAGCCTTGGTGCAGGTTTGGCTCACTGAGAAAGTCGCTACCAACTTTGTTGCCAGAGATGTCGTCTCCCAAGATACACTAGGTAGCCAATGCTCTGCGCCAAGCCTGTGAGGAGTGGAAAATAATGGTCCCCAGAGACTACAATCTGATGCTAGGTTGTTTGTCTAAGTGTGACAATGTATTTAAAAAACATTCTTGCTTTTCAATAGAATGACCTTTTATGTTGCTGTTATTTTATTATGAGAAAAACTGTTAAGTTGGTAATTTATTGAGTGAATTTAGAAAACACTGTTCTTATCACTGTAGCTGCCTGAAACGGATCTTAAAGGTGACACTCATCTAGAATAGGCATTCATGTTGTCCAGAGCATGATCTTACCTTTCCTTGGTATGGCTTGCCTCCCTCTGTAGTCTCAAGGAACACTAGCCTAATCGCATTCCTGCCTGTCCCAAATCAGAAGCACAGGGAGTTCTTCTGTACCTGCCCAGCCAGTGCTTTTGGGCTTTTGACTTTAGAACACTTGGCAGTGAAAGCTGGCAATGTGATGATACAATGGAAAAAATTCTGCCTATGTATTTATACTTAAGACCAGTTCCCCTTAGAGGCCCCAAACAATCCATTCTACATCTCTAAAGAGCAGAAAGAAACCACAGAACAGCATCCTGAAATTCAAGACCCCACTTGGAGAAAAAAAATGCAGCCTTGAATGAGTATACAGTTAAAAGAAAAGAAAAAGCCTATAAGCTCAGCATACAAACTGGTCTTCAGTGAGCATGTGCTTTGTATTTGAGAATGGGTCGGGTGGATGGGAGCGGAGTAAAGCAGCTTGTCCCTCTGGCTTCAGTCTGTGTACCATCTTTAAACAGGACGAAAGGCCTGTGACCATTCAAGACACCTGGAGACTGATCCACAGAGGCCTGGGCCACACCACAAGAATCTCCCAGAGTGTCATTACCATTGAAGACTTTGAGACCATTGATGCAGGCTATTACATATGCACGGCTCAGAATCTCCGAGGGCAGACTACAGTAGCTACCACTGTTGAGTTTTCCTGACTTGGAAAGCGAAGTATAATGAACCGATGGGGAAGCCATCTGTATACACAACATTTGAGATGAGTGCTTTGTGGGAGGCCAACACCAAGGGCCAGCCTGTGGGTCAGACATCCAAATTAAAAGGAAGTCAGTCTATTAATAGAAGTGTTAACTTTGTATTTTGATTACTTACAGCCATGTTTCTAATTTTTATACCAAGAAAACATGTCAACAACTTTGTACAATCATTTCTATTAAATGAGCAAGATTTTATAAAAAAAAAAAAAAATGAGATGAGTTGTCTGCTGTGCATCCAGAAGGACCTCACAGCAATTTTTGTGTTAGTACCTCGTATTCTGTTTGAACCAAGCTCAACTGCTTACTCACAAGCAACAACTCGAGATTCAAATGCTTAGATATGTCACTTTATCAAAGCTAATATGAGTTAATTTATAAAGGTATCAAAAATCACATTTTTACATTAAATTGCCACACCGAAAGTACTAATTTTTAAATTCCTTAAACAATTCAGTCTTTCACATAACATAGATGAACAGGTTAAGAAAGATTCAACTTTAGCTAGACCTGTCTTCAGAAGTACTTAAGACCACAGCTGTTCCAATTTTCTTTTGCCATACAGTAGAAATTATTTAAACTAGCCAAAATTCAGTATTCGAATTTGGAAAAGCTTAATCTTGAACTCAAGCTCTGCAAATCCATTTCAGCCCACAACAATTTTACAGGGTTGGGAGTTCCGTAAAATAGCATGGGGAACTGTCTTAACTAGTGAGAGTTGAGAAGGGTGTATAGAACATAACCTAATGCTTTCAAGAGTGAAGTATGCCAGAGGCTGCCATTCTCATATTGAATATTTCAGCATTATTTATTTGATCAAAGTAAAATACACTTTCCATCACTATAAACTACAGATTTTCACACATCCACATTTTTTTACGATGTGTCAAGTTTTATGTCCTACGAAAAACATTGTTTAAAAACAAAATGTAAAAGCTCTCTTTTGTTTCCTATCTTCTCTCGTGTCTTCTAACCTCTGAAAGGTATTTTAACTGCTGTAAGATTGACTTTCCAGAAACCTAAATGGTATGGAGGAGGACAGGGAATCGCATGAACTTTGACTGTAACTACAGCATAAATGATAAACCCAACTTTGGCTAATGTCATTGGGCACAACTTGGGACTGGGTGCAGAGATATTCCAGGAGGTGGCAGTGAAGCTACATTCTATTTATCAGAAGCAAACATGGAAGGTTACATACATCATAAACTATTGGCGATTAGAGACTTCATTGAACACAACCATTAATAGAAAGCATGCAGCATGAATATCCATGAGCTATGCAGTGTACAGGCCCATGACGACTCTAATATCCACCTCTAGTATTCTGAATCTGTCCTAACTCTAGGGTTATTAGATCCGCCACTGAACACGGGTTAGTAAATACTGACTGACATCACAACGCTGACAAAAGCTGGGGAGTGGAGGTGAGCAGCCACAGCGATCCTTCTACCTTTCACCACGTCTTAGTCTGGGGAGGGGGTAAATGAAATTTTGGGAAGAAATTCAAATGCACTGTGAAGGAGTTGCATAAAGCCACATTTCTCACTCTTTGGTCGACCTTTCTGTTACATTCCAGTGACGGGAGGACTGCCCAAAGGGGCCCTCAGGTCAGCATCAACCACTCGGACTCTTGATCTATTCAACAGGAAGTGTTGGTTTCACAAGGTGCTTCTGGCCATCAGTACACGCTGAAGGCCATCTTTACTGACTTCCCTAAGGATTTCCAAAATTTGTACTCTCCGATCCGGATGGTAGCTTCTTGGATCAGCACCTCAAAGATAAGCTGGCTCCGGAACAGCACTCTGTATTGGGGAACTAAGAGGTAGAAGGCTTGCCTCTGTGGCCCTAGGTGGAGCAAGGAATGGTGGGTACAGACAATGGGGAGAGAAGACGAAGGTTGACCTCTGAAGATAGCTTAGATTCAAGGTGAAAATAAGGCAGCAACCACCATGGGTACTGCCCTCTTCTTCTTTATACAGATGTGTGTTTAGAAAAATTAGCTCATAGCCTGAGAAAATGGATCGGAGCATAGGAGTTAGGCTCATAAAAAATCTACAGGGGAAAAAAAAATCAAACTGGTTTCAACTGACAAAACTGAACGCTGAAAAGCTAACAGAAATGTACAGACATCAACAAACTAAAAGGCTTTTCCTGTCATACCCAAGCCCCGCTGTGTCACAGTGCTGAGGAGTTGCTAGTCACACAAGCAACCACTGCTTTCTCTCTCTCCTATGGCTTTTGTTGACACGTGTACACCGACCACAACTTGATTAATACAGGACCAGCCATAGTCAGCCGTTGACTTTTAATACACAGCAGAGAGGACTGTGACAGTCACGTGACACACCAGCACACCCATTTCGATCACACATACCTCCGCCCACAGTCAGACTGGAAAAAAAAAAATCACAAGAAGGTGTCTCTGGTGAAGAATATTATAAAGGTTATAAATCTTTTTTCTTAATAGGCCCCTGAGAGTTTCCCCTTATGCTTAGGTGAAGGAAGGCAAAAGAACAAGGTTCCCTCGTCCTTAAGTGCTTTGTGCAACTACGTCCACATCAATTCCAAAAAAAAAATCTATTTTTGGAGGAGGCTTTTGGACCAAGTTAAAAAGTCATCCTCCGGAGCTTCCGACTCGTAAGTAGCCGATAGGGTGGTGGCTGCTTTCCAGTTCTCCTGTGGAAATTCCAGAAAGCGAATTCAGCTCTTCTTCCCACGAGAGGGTCCGTCCTGCAGAACCACACACCTCGCTCGGTGCCTTCAGAGACTCTCCCGAGTTCAGGAAGCGTCATCTGGGTGAGATGCTGGGGCTGGAGAAGGACCCGGAATTCCTGGGGGACTGGAAAGGGATGGCCGAGGACGTGGGAGATCGCTTGGGGCTGCACAGGTCCCCATTGTGCAGCTTCCACAGCAGCTCCTCATTCTCCATGGAGAGTCTCTTGTTGACCTTTGACTCCTTCTCCAGGGACTCCTGCAGGGCGGCCTGCTCCGTGGAAAGTTGCCTTGAAAATAAAAACCCAAAGACCATGTGGAATCCAAGTCAAAAAGCAACTCTTCCAGTTTAAACATGAAGGGGCAAGAAACCTACTCTGGGAGAGTAGGATCTAGCCCGGGGTCATAGGTTTCTTTAAAGCCAAGAAACCCAAATACTTCAGGGAAGCTAATAGGTGGGTGGTAGAGGGCCTGTCTAACATGTGAGAGGTCCCTGGCTCAGGTCTATCTATGCACTACGAAAAGGAAAATAAAACTCCCAAATACCAGAAGCGTAAGCCTGACCCAAATAAATAATCCTATTAGTAATAATTGGCAGCTCTAGTTTTTGAGCAATTTCCCAGGAAGCAGTGGGGCACTTGCACAAGGCTATGGCTTATTTCATTCCTGTCTTAATGCAAGGGCTATTTTCTATTCACATTTGTGATCTCTCTCTCTCTCTCTGAAAGCCATCACTACAGGTTTGTGAGCTCTAGGTCGGGGAGAAGGTCTAGGCCACTTTGGTAGAAGCCTAAACTGCTACTTTCAGAGGGAAACCAGTGCCTCTCTATCTGCTTCACTCGATGCCCGGAAGGTATCCAGTAGAGCGTGCCCAGAAGGGAGCAGCCGATGTTCGAGCATGAGAGAAGGGAAGACAGACTCTTGTAGTTTTACCTCGAGATTGCCATGTGTTTGTCCATTCGAGCTTTTAATTCCTCGTTTTCTTGCTGGAATCGCTTCAGTTTGTCAACCAATGCCGTGTTGTTGTCCACCTTGGGGGTAAACAAGGGTTAGAGTCATAAACAAATGAATAAATAAATTCCCTCACTTCCTAAGGCATATTCCTGATCCAGGATGCCGTCAAAAGACTGAGTGAGGGGAACCGTAGTAGTGTGCTGACATGTGAAGAGGCAGCAAGGCTCTGTAGCACATCAGAAGAAATAATGACAGGAAACCTCCTTGTGTGGGTCGAGGGACATTTTGGTCCTGCTGGTCTCCCAACCTTCACTCTCACAAACTGATCAGTTGAGAGATTAAAGGGTAAGACCCACAAAGGCATTTAATCACTGAACATAGTGGCCAGCTAATTAAATCCCCACTCACTGTACTCAAGTATGGTTTATTACTTGTTTGGGAGGTGACATCACAGCTCAAAATAAACTTGGGGCCAAATTTAACCCCAAGTCCCTGCTCTGGCAGCCTACTATGGCTCATTGGCTTGGATTACAGTGTCTAGGTGGAATTCTTGTTTTTAAGACATCCTCGTGCCCAGAAAACATTCAGGATAAGCCAGTCAGATGAAATAACTTTCTAGAAAAACATTTACAGAGCAAAAAAGGGGGTGGGGTAGAGGGAGAGGAAACACCTTGAAACAATTAGAATAAAGCATTCAAGATAAAAACCACAAACTGGGATAGCTTGGAATTAAAAACAGTGGCAACTGGCTTTAAAATACTTTACCAATGCTTTGTTTTATAGAGGTAAAAACTCAGCCTTTGCTGTCATAGAGCAAACTGCTGGCAGAGCCAGCTCTCAAAGCTTGCTTTCTTAGGCAGTGTCCTCATGCTAAGTGTGTTGGTTAGTTTGCCCACTTGACACCACCTAGAATTATCTGGGAAGAAAGCCTCAATGAATGCCATCTTCATCAGGCTCGCCTGTGGGCATGCCTCTGGAGTATCAGCTTGATTGCCTAAATGTGGGCAGTGGCACCATCTGGTAGTGGCTCACACCCAAGGATAAGCTGCTTTCTCTCTCTCTCTCTCTCTCTCTCTCTCTCTCTCTCTCTCTCTCTCTCTCTCTCTCTTTTTTCTTTTTCTTGCTTGACCCTCATTCGTACTGGGAGTTTATCTACTCTACTGCTGCTGCTGATTCTATCTCTGATATTAGAGTCAGCTTCTTCGGGCATCCAGTGTGGACTGATGATCAAAGGCTCTCCAGGAATCAATCCCGTCAGCCTTTGGCACCAGGAGGGAACTGCAGAGGAGGCACCTAGTCTTGTGGGTTGAATAGTTCTCAGGCTCTCCAGCAGCCATTGCTGGACTACTCTGAGCTCATCGGTGTAAGCCAGGCCAGCAAATTCTCCTCTAATGTGTACTGTATCAGCTCTGTTCCTTCAAAAGACCCTGATACACTAAGTGTTCTAACTTCATTAAAGGCCCAGAAACTCCTAAGCACACGACGTGGCAGTGGCACCGAGTGTACCCATTGTCATAGCAACCTGTCCTCCTATATGAACAACAGTGTGACGCTGACTGTTAGGATGCCTCCTGGTCGGGACATAAAACAGAACTATCACGGCTCAATAGAAATTAAGATATGTTTGTACTTTTATAGCAGAGGATTTTATCACCTGAGATCTTCTGATAAGTTCAGAAGCATGAACGGAAGATGGAGCAACGAATTATTAACAGGGTGTCCTGAGTCATCGCTGCCAACCTGCTGAGCAGGTGTCACAGGGTGACCTTTGGCATGACGTGCTATGTGTGCTGGGTTGGGCCTATTATCAACTAGGAGTTTCTTGCATTCCTTAAAGAGGAAAAAAAAAAAACATTTCCTGTACTTCTGGTACCTCCAGTGATGGGCAGAGGTGAAGTGTCCCAGCTGTAAGTATCTGCTGCTACCATTCTGACCTCTACTTGATAGATGTATGCTCTCAAACTAGAACGGGCTGGAGTTAAAAATATGTCAGTTTGGAGATCTCCTTAGTAGCTCAGGAGATGTCATGCTTCACGGTGGGCAAGAGGAGCCATCGTGAACCCTGCCGGATCATGCATATCAGAACTGAAGCTGGGCGACACTCTGGGTCCATTCATAGGGAGCAGTGGCTGAGTTGTTATAAGCCTGGTCTGCCCTCATGTCACTGTCATCAACAGAAGCATTGAATCACGGGGGGGGGGGGGGCCTTTACTGTGACTGCACTCAGATCAACTGCAGTGAGCCCTCACGTGCACCTTTGTCTCGAGACTTTAGGGTTGACAGGATGTTACTGATGGGAAGGTTGTCGATGGTGCCTTTGTGTCAGATTTGCTACCTGTTCTGCCACACATGTCTCCATGCCCATAAAGAGAAACACCCCAGTCATCCCTGTGAAGCCACCTATCCCAGGGGCCCCGGAACCCACTGGCCTCGGCCTACCCACGCATCATGGTGGAAGTGAGACCCTCGTGACCCTTCAGTCCCAGCTGAGCCCCAAGCTGACCACAGCAATGGGGCAAAGTCCCAGGTTTTAGAAGTCTGCTGCACATCAACACAAGGAAACTAAGGCACATCCATGTCTGACTGCTAAAAATGGATACTTCCACCCACCCACCCCTTTGGCCACTACATATGTATTTCCTTTAAAAAAGATTAGCACATGTCTCACTGTACACAGTAATGAGCTTTATAATGGCATTTTACATCTCGGGGTTCATGTACTTTGACCATATCTCCACCATTCATTCCTGTCCCCCCTTGCTAGGCCTCATGCTCTTCCAATATGGACCCCCGGCTCTCGTGCCATATGTATATACATGCTTATCATCTAGGCTCCACATATGAGAGAAAATGGTATTTGTCTTTCTGGGTCTGGCTTATTTCACTTAACAGGATCATCTCCAATTCCATCAATTATTTCTGCAAACGGCATAATTTCATTCTTCATTATGGCCAATTAAAATGCCCTAGTGGATTAAAAAACAAAACAAAGCCTTTCCCTGCTACCACCACATTTCCTGACAAGGTGAGGTGAGCGCCTGTAAGTTCACTTCAGCCTTACCTCCCTTGAAAAACCAGTTAATTATCTCTAGGAAACAAAACACCAAACTGAGCCAAGTGCCCAAACACTGAACAAACAAAAAGTCGAACAGACAAAAGCGCCCAGTGGGTCCCCTGTTCTCCGGGCTGGTCTAGGATTGAATGAGACATTTCTTCATCGAGTGGTAAGTCGCCCACAACTGAGTGGAGGAGACGGGAAGCACTGGATGCTGGCTGACAGTTGGGAGCAAGGCGGCGGCAGCAGCCAGGGTCACTTAAGCTGGTAACCACCCTGCCAGCGTGGTTCCTGTCCTTGATGGCACACCCTGTGTTTCAGGGCTGGCCCAAGGCTGCCAGTACCCGTAGGGCACGCCCCTCAAACGCAGGTGAGAAGGTTCAAATTCTGATGATCCCGGTTTTCAACAATGCTTGCGATTTTCCGATGAGGCTAAATCTTCAACACACAAAGCTTTTTTTCTTTTAATCATCCTCTAATTCTTAAAAAGATAAGGCATTCTACTAGATTATATTGTGCCAATGAGATTAATTAATATGTCCACTTGTCTCTCCTGTCCAGGGTGGGTGGTGCATTAAAATACTAAAAATTAAAATTAAAAAAAAATTAATTTTCCTTAGGCCAGTGAAGATTCACAGACTATTGAATTGTGAGCCTGGTTTGTGATAGTTTTTCCAAAACTAGTTCTTGCTTCATATGTCTTCTATAAAAAAAAGTGTTCTGGAAAGCAGCAGTTAATCAACTTGTAATAGATCTGGAAGAGACAGGGCAACTCTGACACTTTCTGTGCATTCCAAATACCGTTAAGTACAAGTTAGCTCAGCTGCATAGCTCTAAAGCTGTGAGCCGAGTCCCTAGATCCCAGGCAACACCCCGTGCCCCACATGGGAAGTGCCCAATCCACCATCCTGGAGGAGGCCTACCAGCTTCTCCATCTTCATCAGCTTCACGTCCTGCTGATGCAGCTTCTCATTCTTGATCTCTAACACGGCTTTCAGGCTTTCCAGTTCTTGTTCCAGATACATGACCTGAGGGTTTTTCTGGAGAAAACACACCAAGATAAAGGCTCTGATTTATTTCACATATTACACAGTCCAACCTCTTGGTATACAGAATCTCTGATTAGATTTATACAAGTAGTTAGTGACTTACTTTTGCCTTTTTTTCTTTTTGGGACACAGGCAGGGTCATGCTATGAAACCTAGACTGACTTGGTATTCAAAGTAATCCTCCTGCCTCCACTTCCCACTGCTAGGATTACAAGTATACACTGCCATGTCTGCTAAATGTATGTTTCTTTTCATTTTTGTCTTTTTTTTTTTTCTTTGAGACAGGTTCTCATTCTATAGCCCAGGCTGAACTGGGACTCACACAGCGCAGTCTGGCCTTTAATTTGTGACCACCCTCTTGTCTCAGGCTCCCCAGTGCCAGAATGACAGAGATGAGTCACCATGCCTGGCTTACGCAGTTTCAAAGAAATAAAAAAGAAGAGTTAAGACCATTTTGGTCATAATATCAACAACATACATTTTATTTTTTCCTTAGTCATTTAATAGGGATAGATGCTGCTTGCATCCAATCTCTTATTAGAAACAAGAGAGCCATTGCTTACAACATGAAACCAGAGCTCTGGATAGAGATGGGCCTCTCTCCAGTCCTAAACTGGGGTCTGGAGGGAGAAAAGGCAATGGGAGTTTTCTCTACGCAAAGTCAGTCTCTGAGGAGAAACACAGGCCAAGACAGTACACATGCAGGACTCTGGGAAATGGCATTCATTCAGTGATAATGTCCTGAGTCTCTGGGCTTTCCTCAGGGTTTTGCTTGTATGGCCATACCTCTCAGACAGCCATAACACTACCACAGAACATACACAGTCTCCCAAATGGACACTTATGAAAGTGGGGCAACCCCACACCCCAGCCCTTGTTTAACTGATGAAAATTCAACTGAACACCTGACAATACAAATCAGCTATATCTGACCTACTGGCCAGATGTTAAATGCAAGTTTCTGAGGATTCAGTGGTTTAGGTGATCAAAACTACCTCCTGGGACAGTAGCTTCCTTCCGGAGGAATCCTGAGGGAGAATCAGAGATTTGATTTACTTTATCTCACTCTTCAAAGTCTTTACTTCACAAAGAGGAAATGTGTTCTATGGGTCAAATAATCTGCTTTGTAAAGGCCAAGAGAGGTCCCAGACCCAGAAGGGTCATATCAGAAACCACCCATGTATCTTCAATTCCAGGTTCTTCAAAAATAAAACTCCATGTGGTCCTTTTAAATATGGCTTTTGGGAACCTTAGATAAATCTCCTCATATGCATTTGAGGAAAATAGTATAATTTCCCCATCTAAAAATTACTTTATTATGTGTATGAGTGCTTGCCTACATGCATGCATGTATGTTCTTCATCCATAAAAAGAAATGATATGGAGCCACATGCTGCCACATAGACGAACTGACATCAGGCTAAGTAAAGATAATTAGGAAAGATTATGTATCGCCTGGTTATATGGAATGCTCAGAACAAGCAATCCATGGATATGGAAAGCAGAATGCTGGTATACTCAGGACAGGAGTCATTTGGGAATGGACAGTGATTGTTGATGAGTGCAGGTCTCTCTCAGGGAGATAAAAAATTCTGGAATTAGATACCAGTGACTAACACACAATGTCACAAATATACTATAATATAATACTAAAGTTTATGGTCGTGTAATCATATTACAATAAGGCATTTTTTTTAACAAAAACTTTTCTAATTTCAGATTTTTCTCAGTTTCCTTTAGGTAGTTGCTTAGACTTCTGGATTTGGATCTGTGTATAATTTGGGGAGTTGTTTAAAAAAAAATCAGTGAACAAAATCATTTTGTACAGTTAAAATAAAACACGGCAAGCACGAAGAAGACTCTAAACCACAATGATGTCTCTAGCTGCTAAAGAATTGAGTTGAAATGGCAAGTGAGCAGAAGAAAATCCAGTAGCAACAGAGGAAGACACAACTTACTGAATTTGCCTTCTCTCTTGATATTCGCTTTTGCTCCTCCGATTTCAACTTTTCATTCAAAGCATCGTTTTCACTCTTCAGATCATTGATTTGTTTCTAAGACACAAACAGTAACACGTGGAGCATCAGATACCAGGAAAGGGTCAAAGGTCCATCCGCAGAGGCCAAGTCCACACCATCTGACAGCCCCAGGAAGGAGGACTCACCTCTAGTGACTGCTGTTTCTCATTAAGTAGATTCTCAAGCGACTTCTTTTCCATTTCATGGCTTTTCTTGATCTCTGGAAAGGAGAGGGCTTTGTTTTTGTGTTTTGTTAAGGTTATATCACCCTATGAGATTATGACTCCACAACCTGATGTATAAATCTGTGCAAGCTGATGATGTATAAATTACGTTCCTTTCCATTCATTAAGATGCGATTCTATAAATTAAGCAATGTCTTCTCAGAACGACTTTACTAGGTAGGGCAGAGATTTCTGGTTCAATGACCAGAAACTCTGATGCCTAATAGAGGTCAAGAAAACCTTCAAAATCTCAGAATGAAAGGTAGGGTCTCAAAAGACAGGTTTTTGGTTTCTGGTCTAGGGAGGCAGGGGCTGTCTTCCTTTCAATTTGCATTTCCAGAAGAAAACAAATCTAAAATTCAAACAATGTTTACTAAATGTGCATGTAAGCCAGCCACTTTTGTCTATCACTATCTCTGATTCCACACAGCTCCATCTCTGGAGAAGTCCCTCCCTAAAGGTCGCACAGCCAGTACAGCCATACATCTCCCTGCTACTCTGTGAGCTGCAGCTGGTTCATGGTGTGGACACACCCCATTGCACAGCTGACTTTGTACTGAAGAAGAAAAAAAAAAGGCTTCTTGGTCCTTCCTTTTGACTTCAAGCTTTCCGATGATGGTGGGGTCACAACAGCACATCTTGTCCTTGTCCATCAAATGGCACCTGGACCGCGCCATAGCTGTGATGTGCAAGAGCACTCAGGCATGGATGCTTTACAGCATTATGCTAGCAACGGACACCCTGACCTCCCCAGGACTGAAAGTAGCAACTACCACTGACCACCAGCACCAAATCGGCCTTTGCAATCTTTGGAAGTTCGTCCTGTTTCCTAAAGGTCTGGCATGTATAATGAACCATTATTTGCATCCTTAACCCGAAAGGGTACCCACTAACAATGAACAGTGCACAAAGAAGCCAAGAGGCCCGCCAAGCATTCTGTGCAAAAAAAAGACAATTACAAATCACTTCCGTTTTCGTAAATACAATGCATTCCCATGACATCTCTACTGAAGTGTCATGGGGCACCCTTGCCTGAAATGGAGGTCTCATAGGTTTTCTTCAGCAATTCTACTTTCTCTGAGTGGCTCGCTTCGATCTCCAGCTTAGTGGTTTCATGGGCGGCGCTTAAGTTGTCAAACTGTGGGGAACAAACAGAACGATAATATTTACCAATAAGAACCGAAGCGCCGAGCTGAATCAAGGAGCGCACACAAGGGATTTCATTCATGTGCTTCCATCCGACTAACGGGCGTCTCACACGGGTGCCACTCTGGACCCGCCCCGCCCACAGCTCCACTCCATCCGCCCCAGGAACGAAGAGGGTCCAAGCTCCACCGGGTGCACTAATGGTAATGGTCGAGTCCATCACAGGAGTGGAGCTGCGCTTCACGGGCTCCCCTCAGCCCCACACCTGCCGCACCAATCTCAGTCCCTAGCACACGCCTGGCGCATTGTAGGAACTAGACATATCACTAAATAAAAAATGAAGCCAAATAGAGAACGGGGGAAATCAAAGTTTACTAATACTAATGGGTTATTAAAAAGGCATTTTAAAAAAAAATTACAAGCCAGTGGTTCAGTAGGTAAACATCAAGGTGTTTCCAAGGGGATTGTTGTGGAGGTTTTTATATCCCTTCTTCAAAAGAGAATTATTATTTTTTTTTATTTTTTTTATTTAGGTACTAGTAAGGTTGGACCAGAACCTTGGACATGCTTTGCAAGCTCTTGCTGCATCTCTGCGCTCTGGCCCTCTCTTTATTTTAAGGCAGTCTTACTAAATCGCCTCAACCTCTCCAGGTAGCTAGATGGGATTACACACTTTTTTTTTTCCCCACCCTGGGGACTGAATCCTGGAACTCATCACTTTGGTATCACCGAGGACATATTTGGCCCTGTTTTTAGTTTTTATTTTGAGCCAGGGACTTACTAAGTTAGCCACGTTGAACTTTGAATTTTCTCTGCAGCCAAGGTAGGCCTTGATCCTTCTGCTTCAGCTTTCCGAGTGTTGGGATTACAGGTTTGTACCACAGTGCCTGACTGCTTCCCCCTTCTCTAACTCAACACCGTTTCATCATAAAAATCCCCAAAGCTTTCCCCAATTAAATTAAAAAGCAAGGGATAACTCATTAAGAAACAGACAGCATCTAGAACTCAAGCAGCCAGCCATGCCCAGAGCAGCCCGGTGGGGCACAGACCTGCTCTTGCAGTTGGGTTTTATACTTTTCTGCCTCCTCGATGTAGATGTTCTGAAGCTTCTCACACTCCGCCGTGTAGAATTCCTTCAGCCGGTTCTCCAGTTCTGTCCGGTCTGTCTGGTGTTGCTGGTTTAGTTTCTGGACAAATCCTTCATATGCTGTTTGTAAGTCATTCCTAGCCTTTTCTAGCTTCTCACAGGTGCTTGAAGCAGCAACTGAAAAGGACGTAAAAGGGACGAGCCTTTAAATTTGCTCAATGTGTGAAATGCGCAGCATTTACCCACCATTGCATAGACACAACATCACTTATCCTGTGATCAGCGCTGTAGTTCAAATAAGAAATGTCCAAAGGCCCGTGTGCTAGAGGTCCGCAGTGTCACTGGAAAGTGGTGGACCTTGGGTCAGTGGGGCATCCTGCCAGGGACATCAGGATGCTGTCCCTTCTTTACTTTCTTTTCCCAGCCATGAGGCAAACGGTTTCCTCAACCCTGTGTTCTCCCTGCCATGATGGCCAAAAAGAATGGAGTCAAGAGATCCGTGGGCTGAGACCTTCAAAACTGTGAACCAAGATAAAAATCTTTTCTCTCTGTAATTTCACACACACACACATAATGCATTTTGATTATTGCTACCATTATCTCCCACCTTGGTAAGCCCCCTTCTTCCATATATGGGCAAGATTTCTTTTCTCCATATCCTCACCAAAACATATTTAAAAAAAAAAATGATATAAGGAGATGGCATATAGAAAGGTTTGGATAGAGGAAAGGGAATGGGGGAAATGATAGTTATATTAATCTCATTTTTTTCTTTTAAAGAAAATATATAGAATATTCACTTAATGCATGTGAGCAAGTATGAGGTGGTACGTTACAATTTTGATTTGCACAATGGATTTTTAAGTAGAGTCACTTACAGATAACATTAACAAAATTCTACTCTGAAGACGGAGAGCTTTACTCCCACATGATCTGTATCTAAACAGTGCCTTGGGTACTAAAAAATCCAAAGAAGAGCCAGCTGTGGCAGTGTGTGCTGCAGGCCTGCCATCCCAGCACCCAGGAGCCTGAAGCATGGAGGATCTCTAAGTTTGAGGCCAGCCTGGGCTACAGAGCAAAACTATCTCAAAACAAACAAAACTATGGACAGACAAAAATCAGAATCAAACCAATCCACAAAGCAGAAATGTTGGAGGGAAGATCCAAAATGGGGGAGGGAAGCCAGATGACAGGGGTCATCACAGAAACCATTTGGGATTAAATACTGTAAAACACACTCTTCACACTTACATTCCAACATGTAAAAATGAGAACGAAGCCTTTCCATGAGGTCCCTTGTGTACCTCACATTAGTCTATAAAAGTGCTTTGTAGCCAATCAATGAAGAGATCAGTTTCTAGTGAGGGAAATCCTGTTTTTACAATTTCATACATCAGCAAATAACAAGCAAACATGACCAAGCTCATCCAAGAACTCACACCAGATACAAGCATCTTGCACACAATTGTCTTGGCACATGGGCGTCTCGGCACAACTAGTACACAAGCGTCTTGGTGAACCCCATTGCTCTAAAGGAGCCTGCATCTACTGTGGGTACACAGGGCTTTTATATGCGACACCTGCCAGAGTTTCACACATCTGCTTATAATCCGACTACTGTCAGTTTGAATACATAGTATGTCGGTGTTTAAAATCAGATGGGATATACAGAAATCCTCTCCCATTAACCACCGGATAGGGCTGTTTGCTCTGTTTAAACACACAAGAACCAGTAGCCCAAACAGTGTGCAGCTTTGCTGGCTCCTGTGAGCTTGGTGAAGAGGGAACAGATGGGGGGGTGGGGGGTGAGAACCGGAAAGAGAGAGAGAGAGAGAGAGAGAGAGAGAGAGAGAGAGAGAGAGAGAAGGAGGAGATCTGATGGGGGAGCGGATGGCTCAGTCCTGTTGCTTCCAACAACCAAAGGGCAGGACCGGCCCCAGAAGGTGACATCACCCTGCAGCTGTGCAGAGACCTTCTGCTGTTTACAGTGCTGTGTGTAACAGCTGGGCTACACTTCGCACTCACACAAATGGCTTTAGTTTGGATCAACGGCCTGGGCTCTTAGGGAAGCAGTGATTTGGTGGAGAGTCCCCTGAATTCTTTTTTAGAAGGATGCATATGTAGGCACTGTATTAGGGGCTCTCAGAGTGCTCCTTGTCATCTACTGGGACATAACGTATGTGGGTGGTGGCAGAATAAGGTCCTCACCCAATTTTAGGCTATCGATTTTCCCTGGCTTCTCATGGCATGGAGGGGCTCCAGGGTCACCTGTGCTGGCTCCTGCCTATCCTCAGTCTGCCTTTGTCTTGCTCCTTTGCCAGAAGTCCACTGCTTTCAGTTCATCTGACAACTAACAAAAGCAGAACGACCTCCAGGTTTAAGAGTGAGTGACCGTGAGTTTCCTCGTACTGTCAAGAGTAGTTGTTTTAAAGGAGTTACTACTTGAAGAGAAAAATTCACCCACCCATCCCCTGAGTCCCCAGACAGGGTCTCACCATGGAGCTCTGGTGGTCCTTGAATTCAAAGAGATCTGCCTGCCCCTGTCTCTGGAGTGCTAGGTGGGATTAAAGGTGTGCACTACTTACTATTCTCAGCTTAGAAAATCTACCATTTTGGTCCGTGCTTTTAAACACTCCATTAGCTGAGTTTTAAAAGCTTGTGCATGATTAAGCAAGCACACATAGAAGAGAGATGCTTGATGTACACTTGTAAGTACATAAGCTTGCTAGCTTTAAAAGCTGGCCCCGGCAATCTAGCTTAAGAAATTTAGCTAGAGCAGGGCATGGTGGTACATGGCTTTAATCTCCAGCACTTGGGAGTCAGAGGCAGGTGGATCTACGTGAATTAGAGGCCAGAATGGTCTATAGAGTGAGTTCCAGGACAGCCAGATTTACAGAGTGGGACCCTGTCTCAAAATATCTATATATGTACATGGTGGACACATGATAGCCTGTCGTTCAGGAAGCTGTGGTAGGAGGATAGGGCGTTCAAGACTAGCCTGGGTTAACGAGATGTTCAAAGCAGGCCTGGGCTGTACAACAAGAGCCTCTCCCTGCAAAACGGTGGGCTACAGATGTAGCTCAGTGATAATGTTCTGTTTGTAGCATGCACAACTGCCTGCATTCAATCCTTAGCATCACAAGGAGATAAGAAAAAAAAGCGTTTAGACATAAAAAAAGAAAGGCACAGGCTTCTCCAAAATTATCTCTCCAGTCTAAATCTGTGTTAAAGATAGAGGTTGGCACTTTTACTCAGAGATGCATAAGCCCTGAGACTATTAGGCCAAGGCCAAAGCAGGAAAATCGGGGCTCCCTGCCCCCCCTGCCCATCTAAATCACAGCTATTTGAGCAAGGAAAAGTTGCTGCACAAGAAACAATCATTTGGACGCCGTCTAGAAGAGGCACCACTGTGTGGTCAAGTCTGACCTTGGGAAAACAGAACCATACTAATCTCAGGCCCTTTGGCAGTTACCCCTAGCAGAGAGGAAGTGAGGCCATACTTAATCAGTCCCTGGGGATTTCTGTAAGGGGGTAAGGGGAGGTGCAGCTGAACTGATTATTTCCATCTCGTGGAGACAGATTTCCCTTTGCTGACTGATGAATGTTGTTATGGAAGAAAACACGACACAGCCACAGCCTGACAATGTCAGTATTCTTGGAAGAGACACAGAGTGGCCTTCTTTTTAATATATGAGTAGCACGCTTCTCATGGGGGGACAACTGACAGTATCGTCAATGCTGGAGAACACAAGCACTTCATAGAATAAAGCCAGAGGACCGGTTCCAATTCCGGCACTCCGGTTAGTTGCCTACCGTGTGGTTTGCAAAGGTCGCTCACATTTTTCCTCATAATAGAGGAAATAGAGACAACACTGGTGAAGTGCCTGGCCCTGTGCTCAATGTGTGATATATGTTCCTATTGCTATTACCAGCAGACTCAAACCTAATTATAGATTCCTTGAAGACACGCTAGAAGTTCAAAACAATATAATGGTTAGAGTTTATCTTCAGCACCAACCCTCACCACACACTATCTACACACACACACACACACACACACACACACACACACACACACACACACACACACACGTTTGTCTAGGATTAAAAATGTTAAATATGAAGCTGGGCGGTGGTAGCCCACACCTTTAGTCTCAGCACTTGGGAGGCAAAGGCAGCAGGCAACTCATCGCTGTGAGTTGATACCAGCCTGGTCTACAGAGTTCCAGGACAGCAGGGCTCTTATACAGAGAAGCCCTGCCTGGAAAACTTTTAAAGAGTAAAAATACACATACACACACACACACACACACACACACACACACACACACACACACACACACACACACTCACATTCACATAGCAGGTTGCTACTGGAGCCTGCTCCTCAAATCAGCCTACTACTATTGTCCTTTATATTCTGGACACCAATCCCTGGCTTTCAGGAGATTTGTTTCTTCTACAAACAGAAGAAGGACAAGGGAAAGTGTGGGAGGTACGGCTCACGTGGAAACCCAGGCAGACTCTGTACTGTGTAAGAGATAGCAGCAGCAGAGGGCAAACAGGAAAAAGGGAGGGCCCCTTTCTCCAGTTGCGTGGCTCACTTTCCTCCAGGGTTCCGCTCCTCTGTGTCACTTATGAGGGGAATAGGGGTGCTTGTGTCCAATGTGCCTTGCCTGCTTTGGGGCCTCCTCTTGGTCTCTCTGGCCACCCGGGAACCAGCCATCTGCTTGTAGTGCTGGTTCTTTTATGCCTTTCTTCAGTGCGCAACTGATAACTTTCTGTCACTTCTCCTGTACCCATCCGAAACCACAGACAGGGCCTTCCCCATGATTGCTGCCCAATATTACTCCATGAAGTCCTATCACGATACACTTTCAGGGCAAAGTATGGGTCTAACCTGCTTGCAAAGGTGTTGCTGGGGGGGGGAAAACTAACCAAGAAAAGTGGGACCCGGACTCTGTGAACAATAGGCATTTCTGACTTTCCAGACCTCAGTGAGTTGATTCACAGAGTGAAAAAACACACACCGTTGATAAAGGGTAATGTGGAGTTGTTATATGCTGGACAGCAAGTCTAAGCTCAGGATAGTGGGACACCAGTGCATGAGGGGTGGTGGGTTGGAGATGGTAGTTATCCAGCACTAAGACCTTCAGACTTTGTTTCTCCCAAGGTAA